CTTCCGGGGTGATTTCATAATTTTACTGTGGATTTATCATGCTGTTTGCCTTTCTTTTGCGATTGTTTGGTTGGTGAGAAAGATGAGGAAGCGAATGGCAGGTTGAAGTCTTTAGGCTCCGTTTGGTAGATGAAGTATTTCTTAGTTTCTATTTTCTAAATTAGTATATGTGTTTACGCATAGCTATATGATTTTGTGAATGAAATATATATAATTTAGAAAATAAGAACTCGAATATTTATATGTAACAAACAGAGCCTTAATATCTTATTTTGCATTTTCTTTCGAGATGATTAATTCCACTTTCTTGAAGTGTTATTTTATGCCAATTTGGTTGGAGAATGTTGCAGTTCGGGTCTCTAAGTGCTGTGAAATTAAAGATTCCAAATTTTGATATATTTTTCTTTTTCTCTTCCTGCATTTACTCAACAACCAATTGTTGATAAATTGGTTTGTTTGTAAATGCTGCTATTAGGCTCATTTTGGTCAAGGTCAATTTATCCTGTTCAAGATTATGGGACTCTGGAATTGGATGATTTATGGAATTGGAGAGTTTAATTTATTTGTTCCCTTCTTGCCAAACTTAGTACTAAGACTTGTTTGAATTTGAAGCCTTGGACTTGGTGCATTGGATTTCAACTCACTAGTCTATAAATCTTTTTTTTTTGAGGTATCAAATTATAGAAAGTTAATTTTGTTCAAGTGTTTATATATCATGTGGTCTGAGGTATTGGAAATTATTTGACTTTCAAATTAATGCAGCAAAAGCAAAAGGATCAATAACTCATGCACTCAGTGGGGTTCTAGATGATTTCATCTGATGCTGCCTAACTTCGACGATTGAGTATCATTACCATGAAGGTGATGAAGATGATGATGAACATTGGGGTATCAACTCTCTCAAATGTTCTGATCTTTTATCATCAGGAATGTCTACTATCTCAGATGATTTGATCTTCTGAAATAATCTGTCTGGTAGCATCTTTGATGCATTTTTTCATGCATGTTAACAAGATGGGTTGAAAGACTTGATCACTGGTCCTGACCGATGGCTATTGCTGGTCTGCAAAATGTTTCTGTTCTTGATTCTTCTTTCCTTAGGGAGTCTCGATCTCGAGCATCGAGACAGCAAGAGAATGATGGAAGATCAAGCACCAGGACATCCCCACTTCTGCAGATGTGGCGGGAGTTTGAGGATGAGCATGTGGTGAGTCCTG